GACTGGACAAGAGACACGGTGGATCATTAAATCCTGTCCCAGAGTTCCAAGCACTAATACTTTCTAAACTCATGTCATAGTTGATGTACATGGGAGTGGTTTTAGCATAGTCTTATAGTAAGGTATACAACGGGCAAATACTACCATGTTGACATATTCAAATAGAGGCGCAGATCTCTAATAAGTCTGTATAAGCCTCATGCCAAATACTGTATCGCGTTGTCTTAACGAATTTCAAAACTGTGGGAAACATTAAGTCTACCATAATAAAGTCTGAAAGGACCGCTGAGATGGACAAGTGGGAATAGAAGTACATGCGAAGAATCCCCTTCACTGTCATCCTAGGTGCCAACTTTGTGAAGAAGGCAAGGAGCCTCTCTGAGGGAAAGAATAAAACAATGCCTGTCGCCGCAAAAAGGGTTTGGACTTTCAATAAATCCGGTTCAATCCTACAGATCGGTCCATGCAGGCAGAAGCACATAAAACGTGGGTCTTGATTCTCAGATCCCCGTACAGCTCCCCTGAGATCAATTAACTAGAGTGGCTAACCAATGCCAACTGTCCAGTTCTATTAGAAGCCATCACGGATAAGAAGATTCCTTTCCTACGAGTTCCAGGCACATCGGGCTTGGACAAGTCTATTTTCTGGGATTGTGGTGCATCAAATACACGCAGCTCTTATGGGGCCTACGAATGTGGTGGTTGGTCGGTATCCATATGTATTTATCAACTAACTACTGTGAGTAACCTGGAGCGTCAGGGACTGTGCAGACCAGTAAACATGAGAGGAGAAAGTGCTGGCACGATATAGAAATCTAATACTCTTTTTCGTCTTTCTGGGACCACTCATGCAACAGTTTCGACCACATTACCATTATATGGCCTTTATCAGAGTTCTTGGACTGACAGTATCGTTGCTTCGAAGCAAAAGTCTACACCGTGTATCGGAAAAATGGTGCGTCGTCAGCGAGTTCCTGCTCAAGAGCCTTCTGCTCCTCCGTCAACTCCTGTCCCGTTACCTCGCCCGTGACACGGTCTCGGCGAGCATTTTCGAGCCGATACCAAATTGTCATGAACAGGGTTAGTATGAACGCAAGGCTGAGCACACAAAAAGGTCAGTCGAGGGGCCTCTTTATTTAAGCGCTCACATCAAGGGCAACAACTCACCTGATGATCCCGATCAAAATGCTGTGTCCTGTGATGTACCGTGGCCCGTCTTTGGTCAAGTACACGTATGAGGCTATGATGCCACCACAATTACCTCCCATCACCTGCATGGCGATACCTGTCCCTCGCTTCAGGGATCCACCAATGTTGCCGCTGTTCCACGCCATAGCGAGAGGGACCGTTGGGTAAACTCCAACAGCAGCCAACACTAGCCCACCGTACTGGGCCGAGTGGTTGCTAGTACCCGCCAGCAGCGAGAAGCCAGCAACTCCGGTGAGCTGGAACCCCAACAGGAAGATTCCGCGCCGCTTGACGCGGTCCGCCGCGTAGCTTGCCCCGATCGTGAAGATGCAGGCGAAGACATACGGCGGCACACTCATAAGCTGTGCATTGTTGGCGGTGTATCCCATGCCCTTGATGATAGTTGGCGAGAAGAGGGCGATGGAGTAGATGGGGCAGAAGCCGGCGAGGAAGATGCCGCAGTGCATGTAAATCTTCCAGTCGCCGATGGCCTGCCACACATACTTCATGTTGAAGGCCTCAGAGAGGTGTCCACCGTCGACGCGCAGCCGCCTCACCACCTCCGTCCGCTCACTGTCGTTTAGGAACGTGGCCGTCGATGGATAATCGTAGATGGCCCAGTACGCGGTAAACGAGACTAAGATGCTTAAAAGTCCCTCGAGGATGAAGATCCATGACCAGGCAGACAGGCCGCCGATGCCGCTCATCTCAGCAATGCCCCTGGCCAGGATCCCGCCAAAGGCGCCGGCCAGCGTGGCGGCGGAGAAAAAGAGGGCCATGCGGAAGCCGCACTCGTGCCGGCAGTACCACTGCGTGATGTAGTAGTTGACGCCAGGGAAGAGACCGCCCTCAAATGTGCCGAGGAAGACACGGGTGGCCATCAGACCGGAGTAGTTCTTGACAAAGCCCTGGCCAATCATGGATGCTGACCATCCGACCATGATGAAGGTGAGCCATATAGAAGGGCGGGTACGTTTCATCATCATGTTGGATGGTATTTCGGCGGCACTGAGATACCATGGTGGTCAGGAACTGGTGTAGTGTTTATTGTGCTATATTGACAGGGTGAAAGTCATGCAGCTTACATATAGAACGGGAAGAGAATAGCTAGGCAGTCATTGTATTGTAGCCCTTTAAGATTGAGGTCTTGCTCGAGGTGGTCAAGGCGGGCATTTCCGATGTTGGTGCGATCCAAGAAACAGAGTCTATTGCGCGTCGTTAGCAGTGCAGTTCGAGCAATGCCGAGGTACGACGCGAGGAGGTACACACAGGTAAATGAGAGACATAAACGGGATTATGTGCAAGTCCAACTTCCGCAGTAGCCTTTTGGTCGCACTGCGGTCGTAGGCCACCGCCTCGTTGATTTCGATAACGGACCCATGCGCCGAGGCCTCCGTAGGCTCGATAGTCTTCTCCTTTATTGAAGGAACCATACTTGCGTGTTTAACACTGCTAGGGATGCCGATAGGGGAGATCCTTCTGCGGTTCCAGGGGAAATGTGTGGCGGGAGCAAGACGCAGGCAGGAGAACACGAGTCACACTCGAGTTGCGCAGCTGGGCCGAAGGGGGATGGATGGCAAGATTTAAATAAGCCATTAGAATCTTGTAAAAAAGCATATCAGTAAGAACCCCGGTCATGTATATATGAATATCCCATCCAACCTCACCGCAGAAGTGATCCAGTAATCCTTCGTACCCCCCGCCGTCTTCCGGTAGCTTGTATTCCAGCGCCACTTGGCAGCGGCGACTTCGCATCGTGGCCACACAAACCTCAGCTTATCGGGTCAGGTCGACACCGTTGGAATGCAGGTCAGATTCTAGACTGCCCTCTCGCGGGTCGCACAACAGGCACATCTCGCTCAATACGTCTTAGACAAGGGATCGCGCCAGCAAGCCACAGCGCGTACTAGAACCTAGCGGCCGGGCCCCCGCCGCTTGGCAGGAATGAGCTGTCCCAGTTGAACCAGCCCACGGGGAGGGCCAAGCTGACGGTAGTTGGGTGTTGGTGTGCCCGCCAAACAAGCTCCTTGTTGGGCAACCGGGTGGCTTATCTGGTGCCAATAGCTCCCGCGGGCCAAGATATCCCCACAATGCTTAGTCGGTGTCAAGACTTGACAAGACGCTAGGAGTTGAATCGGGATCCTTCGACCAACGACGGCGCATTAATGGTTGTAATATATGGTATTCTTGAGTGAGGAGGTCCTTGGATATTTTGGAATGACGTTCGGTATTTGCGACGGGGATCTGTTGTGGAATCGGTATCGGTGTGCTGCTTTTGACTGTGATGTTATCAACTGTTCGAAAAAATTTCGAGCTGCAAGGGCAGAGATTTGGGCCGAGATTTGGGTAGCATGCCAAAGGTTGCAGCACATTCGCGCAGGTTACATCAAATAGGATTGGGAAGCGCCACTGCATCTGACCTCAGATTTTCGGCTAGCTTATGCCAAAAGCCCATGCAGACGAACTTTTTCTCAGCTTCTCACTGGCATGCCGTGTACAAGCGAGTACATAGGCGGGCCTTTACACCAAAATGTTCTAGCTATTGCCCTCCTCTCATAGAAGAGACTTGAAGCTAGACCTGCTTAGTTCTTGTTTGACTTTATTGCTTTCATGCATCTATTATTGCATCGTGCATCACCACTGATGCCACCTGACCCCGCAAAGCAGAAATGCTGCCTGGAATCCGGCTGCATCAAAGATACATTGGCCCAAGTGGATTCTGTGCCTATAATTAGCAGTGCCTTTACTCCCGATAGAAAATCTATTACAATTCTGGCTCCAAGCTTGTCTCTCTGGCGTAAGGCCCTTTGACGCATTGAACTCGAACTTGGACTAGAATGACCCTGTTGCTGGGCTGAGTCGATTTTGGGCTTTTAGACCCGAGGGTGGGCTTTGTTCCTTGGTCTGGCCTTTTGCGCAGTCAAACGTGGACTTGTGATTGAGCAAGGGGCAGAATGGGTTGTGTACAGACAATATATCTCTTGCCACTTACCAAGGCGACCACGAAGATATTTTCGTCTGACATCCCGATGTCACTCTCCTGGTCTGTAACCCGTCAAGCTGAGGCTTGGCCACACTACTTCGGCTTCAATTTGTATTTTGACTCAAGTATCTGACTGGCTCTTTGAATACTAAAGAAATCCAGAACAGAAGTGGCATTGAATGATTAGGAGGACCACTCAAAACAGAGCCTAAGTCTGCCGTTCCCCTAGATGCATGGACGCCGGCATGTCTGCTGCTAGGGTACCCACATGGCTCCACGCCGATCTCCCGATCTATGAACTACCAACTGACGTATCACTGCCGCCGCATAGGGAATCACATGATCACATATCGGGCCCTATAGCTCGTCTCTGAGCTGAAACTTGAAGATGTTATAGGCTGTGACGTAAGCAAGTCTCACTCTCGTGTGGAATGTCTATTATGATTCGTCTCTCAGTATTAGCAAGCCCTGGACAGCAAGCGGCGCCTACAAATCAGGAGACAGCCTCGGAAAGTGCACAGCGTCGGTGAAAATCAGACATACTTCAGGTCATTCACATAGATGCGGGTTAGAGTATTAGAGATCGGACTGCTGATGGACAAGATGCCCATGCCAAATGAGGCTTGCCTACACACACAAGTCCAGGGCTTGTGACCCTGCCGCTATGGAACGTGAGCATCTTTCAACCTCCTGTGAATGCCCCCGAGGCGCAAACAGCTGCGCCAAACACCAACTTCATCTGAACTTCTGCAGCTTCCCGCCGGTGACTCACTTGTACCTAGCCACACTCGACACACACTTTAGCAACCTCGTTCAGCGTGGCTTCCAGGGTGCTGTCGTCTAGAGGTTTAGGACGTTGGATTGTGGTCAAGCCTTTCAACTCTCCAAAGACCGAGGTTCGAACCCTTGCAGCGCCACACATTTTTGCTGTTGGCGTCACTGCATGTGGCTGTCGCCTGCGTGATGCACGTTCCAGTCGCCATTTCACTTCATCCCTTACGATGCCTTAGGTAAAGGGTCACGTATGCAGATTCATGTCACCGAACCTCTGGAGACTGAGCGGACCACACTTGCATCGCCGTGTCTTTTTGTACGCAGCGGCCGCCGCGTAGCTATATTTCAATTGATTGCCTAACGTGTCAGTGCAATAAGACTGCATGACCTGGCTTGCTTGGCACAGACGAGTCTCGGGGCTCACTCTCACGATAAAACGAGTGAACCGGCTCCGCCTCCCCGGCTCCGACGGTCGTCCGGGTCAAAGGATGTCTCGGCCACTGCTCCGCCGAGCGCAAGACGGCTGTCACTGGTTGTCAGCAATCAAATGGAGTCAACTACGGGCGAGCTGGAGGCGTTGACTCGGTATTTAAAGCTATGTGTGGCAGGCCAAGACTTTTCCCCAGCCGACAAACGGCATGTTTCCGTCCGAGGCCAGTCTGGACCCCGGTCGTGTTTGTTGTTTCATGGACACTCTGGGTGGACACCCGCGTAGCTCGGATCTCTCCAGGAGGGATCTTCCACAAATCCTCGGTCACGAGCATCAGCCTTGGCGGCCCGGATGTGGGGTGTCCAAGCCGAAAGCGCAACGCTGAATCAATACCTTCTGTCTGTTGCAATCCCCTCCCACGAGGGGAAGTTCCCATTGAGGCTATCAGGTCCGTTTGGGGCCCTGTCTAATGTCATGTGGTCATGGGGCTGGCTCATGCTCGCGCAGTGGCGCCTGGGCACTTGAGCAGCGCGGAGTGCAGCGGCAGTCCTGCTCCGTGTGCCACCCCCCTTTAATCAAATGCTACCGCGGATGCAGGGTCAGGGGCAGACACTATTGTGTAAGTGAAGTCGACGGCCAGCCGGGCCTGGGCATATGGACTCAATTACTCCGGTTGGTCTCTGGTCTTGAAAGCTTTATGAAGAACATATTACTTTACTTTGCAACGCCAGCCGTTGACTTTCGTTAATTATCTCGCCTCCGTCCTCATCTGCATCCCAGTGCCGGCACACATTCTTTTTTTGCATCATCCTTGTTTCTGCACATCCCGCCACATCCGTCCCAGGTCTCATCCACCACTCGCCGGCACGATGAAGTTCTCACTACCCGCCATCGCCGTCGCACTCGGCGCCATCACCGCCTCTGCGTCCCCAGTCGAGCTCGTCGAGAGGGCAACACCAACCGTCTACCTGTGCGGTGACAGCACCATGGCCAAGAACGGCGCCAACGACGGCTCGACTGATGGCTGGGGCCAGTACTTTGGCGCTCTCTCGTCTGCCACCGTCGTCAACAAGGCCATCGGTGGCCGGTCTGCCCGTTCCTACACGGCCGAGGGCCGCTTCACCGAGGTTGCCAACCTGGTCAAGTCCGGCGACATCGTGGTGATCGAGTTTGGACACAACGACGGCGGCAGCCCCGAGTCCAACGACAACGGGCGCAGCGACTGCCCGGGCGCCGGCACCGAGACGTGCACGTCCAGCAAGGACGGGTCCACCGTCTACACCTTCGTCTACTACGTCATCCAGGCGGCCAAGCTCATGGTGTCCAAGGGCGCCACGGTCGTGCTGAGCTCGCAGACGCCCAACAACGCGTGGGAGGGCGGCAGCTTCTCCTACTCGCCCCCCCGCTTCGTCGGCTACGTCAAGACGGCCGCCAACGCCATCGCCAGCAGCAGCGTCACCTACGTCGACCACTACAACGCCCAGACCCTCGCCTACAAGAAGCTCGGCAACAGCGGCACCAACGCCCTCTACCCCAAGGACCACACCCACACCAGCCCCGCCGGCGCCAAGCTCGCCGCCCAGGCCTTTGCCCAGGCCATCAACGCCAAGATGAACGGCACCACCAGCCTCACCAGCTACATTCTCCAGCCGGCCCCGAGCGTTTACTAAGTGGGCACCACCCACCCCAGGACGGGAATGGTGTGGTTGATGGGGATGAACAAGGTGGATATTCTTTGATCTTTTGGTTGTACATATATTGAAACGGCGAGGCAGAGCCATGGATTGCCTGCCCATCCTGAAAGTATAATAAATACATGAAATGAACCATGAACACGAAAACTTGTGATCAGCTGAATAAGGTCAAGTAAACCGGGCACGTGTCGACCCTATCGCGGCGGATACTGGTGAGCATGGGGGGGCCCACCTGAAAGCCAAAAGCGGACGACAGAACTCGGATCCGGCATGGATCAATCAATGGTGTTGTCAATTCATTGCTCGGTCAGCAGCGCAAGCGAGGAAATATCCCCACAACTGGAGCCGGTGGACCCTGTCGGGCCAATTTGTCCCTTTTCTCCTGGACCCCCGAAAGTCTGGGCTCCACTGCAGTTAGCAATAAGAAAGCCATTTCCCCCTGTGTTCGAAACATCACGAAACATCGCCAGTGGTCCCACCCGCGACTTGTTGCCCGCGGCGAGTCTAGCACGACCTTGGCGGGAAACAGGCCACCGCTGGGCTCTCTGCCTCCTATCGTGGGAACATGGTGGGTGCGGATTGGCAAGCGAGTCTTGTCGTCGGAAGATCATTTACGCGGTCTTTTTGAGTGACCAAGGTCAACAGGGGACGACTTAATTATTCATTGGGAGCATCGCCTGCCGATCGAATAAGATGCTCCGACAAGGATAGTATAGTGTATTATATTGACAATGAATCGAATAGATGCTCTTATACCAGCTTGATACACAGCAGGCTTAAAACTAAGTACAATGAAGGATAGAAGTGACTGGAGCTTGAGTCCAATGTTCAGTGGGCCAAAGCAACCAAGGGCGTCGCCCCGGGGAAGAAGCTGCTCGGCATAGTCGGCACAGGAATCTCGACCGTGAAGCCGAAGCCAGTCTTGAGGTCGCCGGGCATGGTGGCAGCCTGATACCCCGTAGGCGCAGATGCGGCAGCCTGGGTGGTGGTGTAGGAGCCGCCGCCGCTGCTCTTGAGGCACGACCCCGTGCCGAAGGCGTTCTGGCAGATATAGTTGACCTTGCTGCCGCTGTCTGTCCACATGGCAAAGTCCCTGACGACCATGTCCTTGCAGGGCGTGTCCGGGTCACACTTGAACTGGACGGGGCCTCGCTGCGTCCCCGACGCGCAGGTGCCCTTCCAGTTGCTAAAGGTCATGTTGGTCAGCTGCACGCCGCTGCCCGCCGCTGCGGACATTGATGCCCACGCCTGGTCCACGTCGAGCGAGTACGCGTTGCCGTGCCCGATGAACTCGCTGAACTCGGCGTCCTCGACGTAGCCTGACCCGCCGTTGCTCTTGATCATCAGCATCTGGTTGCTGCCCACCGTGTAGATCTTGCGGTAGGCGATGTTGGAGATGGCTGTGCCCGCCGCGAGGGACCCGATTGCTGAGCCGCCGGAGAGGTTGCAGTAGATTTGCTCGATGAGGATGTTCTGGGCGGGAGACTTGACGGTCACGCACCTATTCACGAATTTCAGTTAGCGCCTTTCATTGGAGTGTCGAGAAGTGTCTAGAGAGGCGGAATACAAGGTTTTGGGCGCTAGATGGTCACTTACTCATCTTTGTTAGTCACCATCACATCGTGGATGTGGATATTTGTTCCCCAGACATCAATGCCGTCGAGCCCGCCGTGGTCACCACCGCGGATGGCCAGGTTGTAGAGCTCGCCGTTGGCGCTGGTGTCCAGAGAGATGTGGAAGGCAGGCGCGTCAACGAATTTGAGATCGTGGACGGAGAAATCACTGGTCTTGATCACACGGAGGAGACGGGCCCCCGAGAGCGACCCCGTCTTGTGAATCTGGTACCCATACCCTTGCATGACGCCGGATCCGGTGCTGGAGAAGAACTCGATGTCCTGGCTGTGCTGGATGGCTATCATGTTGCCGCCAGCGGTGCCCGTGCGATAGATGGTGCCGTCGAGCTGGACGCCGACGCCGGTGCCCTTGTTCAAGGTAGCCCAGGTTGACATTGCATAGTCACCAGAGGGGATGATGACTGCGAGGTGGTTAGCACCGCGCGACTTGGTATAAAAATAAGGGCCGTGGTTTCGGAATCATTGTAAGGGTCGAAAGTTGATGACATACCAATACCTCCAGCTGCACATGCGGACCAAGCCTTGGTAAGAGCCGCACCAAGGTCCGTCTTCTTGTCTGCCTTGGCACCGTAGTCAAGCACATTGCACGTCTTCTTGGCCCGCTTGGCTGCAGTGCTTGTCGTGGGGCCGACGTGCCCAGAAAGCTGCGCCGCAGCTGCGCCAACCAGGACGAGGAGGTTTACAATGGACAGCTTCATCTTGATGCGAACTTCTGCTCAAGACTACTAAAATATGGATTGAATGTAAGAATCAAAATGCCAAGAAAATTGAAGACTGCGGTGTATTTATGCGCTCTGCGCGAACGAGTGAATGCAACGAATGAATGTAGATTGAAGGAGGGACAAGCAGTTGGATTGCCGCTTGAGGATCAGGAAGCAACGGTGAAAATGACTGCTGAAGCCGCTCCGAGATAATAAACGCACTGCTCTCACGAGTCCACTAGATTGGCTATGGGGCCATAATTCAAGCTTTTCCCCCATGACAATAATATAAGCCTGACGCGCCCTACCAAACTTCGATGGCAATCTGACCATCTGCCAGACCATTAGGGAGAACAATGTGCCAAGCGAGGTGTTCACGTCGGCGTGGTCCAGACTGTTCTGCGAATTGCAGTACCGACATGTGAGGTGGACACCCATCGTGCAGTCGGGGCATTTCCACCAAAGAGAAACGTACGTTCTGAAAGTGCCTGCACGCGAAACAGGCAATCCTACGACCGCGCGGATGGCCCTTGCCGGATTCTTGCTAGGGTCCGCCCCTGCTCTTGACTCGGAAGCGAGGCTGCGAGTAAGGGGGCTTCTACGACGGTGGGCATCGAATTGATTAGGGTGAGACGCGCTAGTACTTGGTCCGTCAGATCCGACATGGCTTCTGAATATATTAAA